AATTTTTTTTCAATATAAAAACGAACTAAAATCAAAAACCGTGATAATTAAATCCTACACTTTTTTCTTTTACATATGACAGATTTTATTTCAAAAATTTTTATTACATTCATATAAAATTCGACACAGAAATCGAGATTTTTGAACATTCTAAATACAAAATTGTAAATTGAATATTCTCAGAAAAAAGTATATGTAAAACATGTAATAATAACATATAAAACTTTATTTTAAAATAACCGTAATTAAAATGAAATTTTAATCAAATTGTAGATAACCAATTTTCAACTATTTTGAAATTTACAAAATATAAACAAAGTATAACCCGATTGAATTTCACGTAAATATCAATTTAATTCAGCCATTTCTCTCATCCTTTCGAAGCTCTTTCTATAATAGGTTTTAGGCATTACGGTAACAGTTTTGTATAAGATAAATGATGGATTTGTTTTATATACATATGAACTTTATTTTCAAATAAATGAAGAAAATGACATTCAACTATTGAACAAAAAAATTTTTTTTTTTTTTTTTTTACTAATTATTAGTTTTGCAACTAAGGGACTAACAAATAGAAAGCAAAAAGTAATAATTAATAAAAATAAAATATTACACGATACAAACACATTTATTAAAGGAATTACTTCCAGTTACCTTTTCTAAGGTAATTTGGACATTAAGATAACAGTTCTATATATCCTATTAGAAACCATTTCCAAAGAGCTCTCTAATTGGGCTCGTATAGCCGCTAGTAACTCGTGGTTGTGGCAGTGAAGCGAAGCATGATTAACTGACCGTTGTTTCAATCTGCATACCACACGTCGTATACGAAATAATAATTTACGCACTATTGTGGCTGTTGTTGTTGTTGTTGTTGTCGATGACATTGCAACAATCAGTAATCAATTTACAATTTAGTTGTGTCTGCCTGTGTGTGCGTCTGTTTGTGTTGTGTGTGTATGTGTGTGTACATTGATTGGTGGTTGTGCAGAGGTTCCTCAATCTAAACACACTAGCACACGTACAGCTATGTATATGTATGTGTGTATGTGTATTTCCTGTTGTTGCTGTGGAGCAATTGATTTGTTGGTCGATTTGGTCGTCGTCAGCGTCCCATCAATGTCCAAAGGAAATGCCACGCAATTTGTTTGTTCGCGTTCGCAGGCCACAAATATTGTGAAATTAACTTGTTAAAATAGCGGTGCAGCCAGTGGGTTGGGCCTGGCTGTTGATAAATGACAAAAGATTTGCGATATCCCGCCAACTGTGTGGAGCGGGCGCTTGGAGTTCTGTGAGTGCTAATGGCCATAGAAAAATATTGACTAGCCCATTGGATTTGGAAGGGCTGGGTATGCTTTTGTGTTTTCTGTAGACTGAACCAGTTGGAAATGTATATTTTGGGGTATGTTGTTTCCGTGCGAATGTATTTAATGGACAGACGGAAGCATAGAAAACTCCATATTAAATATAAATTATATATAAGTATATAAAGTCTTTGACACATCTAGCGTGACTGTCCGTGATTCATACTTTTAAGAATTAGATTTCATCGCTTAAATTTTTATTGTTATTGTTACTAAATTTCATTGCTATTTAAATTTCTTCCAAGTGAATTCTCCAAGTTTTTGCTCTAAGTATTTCCCTAAGGACTTCCCCCAAGCATTTCTCCTAAGTATTTACTTTACGGATTTCCTCTGAGAGTTTCTCTGAAGTATTTCCTCTTATGTATTTCTACAAACTATTTCCTCTTAGTATATCTTCTAAATATTTCTTCCAAGGGTTTTCTCCAAATATTGCCTCTAAAGGTTTCCATAAAGTCTTTGTTGCTTAGCTGAATGATCACACAATTCACTTCACTTCACTTTACTGCACTCTGGGCGACTGCAGAAATACTGCAGCTGCTGCCCTTTATATAGGGCGACACTAACTCAACTGTTGAGCTCGACGTCAGGTGCCTGGTAGGTAGGGGTCGTTGCAGTCGAGCTTTAAGTGACTAATGGGAACTCTCTCTGTTTCTTCTTCTTCTTCTTAAGTATTGTAGCTTCGTTGTACTCAAATATACCAAATGAATAATGCTGCATACATATAAACCACTTAAACGATCTTCTGTAGTTATACAGAGAGACTGACTGAGAAACAGATGGAGAGAGAGATAAACAGATAGACATACGTACAGATATATATATATATATATATATATATATATATATATATATATATATATATATATATATATATATATATATATATACATATATATATATATATATATATATATAAGCAAACAAACACACATAGAGTTAATGCTGATATGCTTGGCAGCAGTTTCTCTTTTTCTATAGTTCTCTTTAGGTCTAGAGCATCTGCCTTATTCCATCCCATGCTCATTGTCAATGGATTTGTTATCAATACGATGGACCACTTTCAAGTAGCTAGCTAGAAATAAGCTAAACTGGCACAACGACTTTTGAGTGCATATTTGTATTTGTAATTAATAAGTAAAAAAGAAAAGAGTATTCCATAGTGGAGTACACTGTTCGCAGCACATATCCCTGAGTACAATACTAAGTAGAAATACTTAGCTTTCATTATTAGATACAACAATTAATTATAAAGTACACGCCGGCACTTAGCTCGCAGTATTCCCCTTGATGCTGGCTCACCTAAGCGGCGAGTTGCATAGAATGGCCTTTAATCTGATGCAATTGACTTGGCTTTAACCTGTGCTCATTGACCAGTCAACTGACATGCGTCCGCTGCACTCTGTGCGCCCCACTCTTAATGTGTTCGACATTTTCCCATTTCCTCGCCCCTTTTTTTCACTCTTTGCTGTAGTTTATCACTAAAGTGCACGCAACAGCAGCCATGCCAAAGACGTTGCCAAGTGGCATACGCGGCGTATGACTTATCTGGCCATGCCACAGCTAGCGGTTCGCATTTAAAGTTTAAGTGGTGCAAAATCAGCACCAGTCGAGCTCTGTGTGCAAAGAAGCGACTCAGCTGCAAAGGACTTCATTTGCAACATCAATCGCAACCTCATCCTGCCAGCGCCTGCTGCCCTCCCAGCGACGGCCGCCCTGCAGTTGCCTGCCTGCCTACTGGCCATGTGGATGCTCTCATTACGTTGATGGCAGCGACCGCGTTGGCTGCGTGTTTAATAAAGCGTATGGCAGTATGGCAGCAACCGGATGCCACGGAATGGCAGCCTGGATTCCAGTGCCCAGAAGGCGGCTATTGGCTGGGTTTAATTAGCTTTAATGGCTTAATGCAGGGCATTTGAGCCGTCGTGAGTGGCTGGGCATGCAAAAATGACAGCTGCTAAGTAAACGTGCTGCTCTCGCCACTGCTGGCCGAGTCGACCTCCATTTTCTGTTTCAGATGTACGAAGGTTGACAGCATCATTTCCGCATCGTGACAAGCTTTGGCCATCATCACAGAGCCAATTCTAGCATAAGATTTCCTTAAATCCGCTTCATATTTCATTAAAATATTGAAATCCTATCAAGTTCCACAATTCAAATATACCTGATTTGATTCAGAACGCGCCCACTACTACTATATTTATGACTATATTAACTTTAATCCTCAACTAAATTTTAGAAGTGTGAGTCAATATAAATATGCTCTTTTCTAAGATTATTTTAAATGTTTTCAGAAGTCTTTCTCAGCATTCAAACTGTTTATTTTATAGTAATTATTCGACATTTTATTTTTAAGTCTATTGAAAATAGAAATTAAGTTAGTTTAAGTTATCAAGAGATAATTATATTCAGGATAAAATGATGAGTCAAGCTTAGAACCTATATGCGCTATACATTATTAGTTGAAAATTCTTATTTATTTATTTATATATTTAATTTAATTTTTTTCATTTGAATACACATACATTCAAATATGTGCATTCATTGCCCATTTCCTTTCCTTGAATCACAATTTCGATTGAATTGTGTTTGTCAGTTGTCAGCTCTTACTTTACTTGCGGATTTGCAGCTTCGTAAATAGACAATGTAGATATGCGGGTTGTAGAGGCGATGCGTCTGGCTGTGGAGCCTCAGCTGCTTGCCGAAAATGAATTGACTTTGAACCCGTGAACGCACTAAAAATGGCAGCTCAGGGTATATTGATTTTATGAAAACGTATGCTACAGCCAAATGCAGGAATGGCAGACCCGATGGGCTAAGCCACAAAAACCTGAGAGATCTGAATCGATCACTGTAAATTCCTATTCCTTATTGTTTACCGTATTATCGATATTAATCGATAAGTTTATTTAGTTTATAACATTTAAGTACTTCGAGTAGTAGAGCCCTGCTTTTCTAAATACCCATCTAAATAATGAACGCATCGGATAACGAATATTGATCAAGATGCTAAATAGAATTGTGTTCGTTATGCGAGGGTATACTGTAAACGGAAACACGTGTGCTTATGTGTTGTTTGTTCCAGTGTAGAGTCATTAAAGTAGCATTGTTTAGGGTATGTCCAAGTCAGGTACACCAGATTATGGGAGTAGAAACAGCAGCCAAGCGAATACTGTGTAAATATAATTATATTTAGACTTGTATGCGTTTCTTACCTAATTTAACTGAGGTAACAAAACAGGGTTGTCGCTGAAGAATAGGGTTATGTTGGTAAATATATGAATATCGTAAATATTTATATAGTACTTATATTTGGATGTTTATTTTTAATAGTTATTTGTTCAAGTGCGCCCGAGGATACTTATAAAAAGGCAAAATTTGCCAATGGGCCTCAGTTTCGATCTACTCTTTCAGCCGTAAAAGAAGGAAATTTGTAGCCATGAAGCTGGCTACCAGCTTTTTAATTGGTAACAACATATATAATTGGGCTTTAGGTGATCGGTATCCTTATCTATTGTTGCATTTCCAGTGGGCTTGCTCCTTATGGGACATGCCGATCCTAGTGCCTCAGTTCCGTCTTGTGGATGTCCACCACCAACAACACCACGTTGTCCACCAACAACAACAACACGTTGTGGATGTCCACCACCAACAACACCTCCTTGCCCACCACCAACAACAACACGTTGTCCTCCAGTAAGAACTACAACGACAAAACCAAGCTGCAATACCAAGCCCACCCAACCAACTCAGCCAACACAACCGACTCAACCACCACGCACCCAACCAACACAACCAACTCAGCCGACACAACCGACGCAACCGACTCAACCACCACGCACCCAACCCACCCAACCAACTCAGCCGACGCAACCGACTCAGCCACCACGCACCCAACCAACACAACCAACTCAGCCGACGCAACCGACTCAACCACCACGCACCCAACCCACCCAACCAACTCAGCCGACGCAACCGACTCAACCACCACGCACCCAACCCACCCAACCAACTCAGCCGACGCAACCGACTCAACCACCACGCACCCAACCAACACAACCAACTCAGCCAACACAACCGACTCAACCACCACGCACCCAACCCACCCAACCAACTCAGCCGACGCAACCGACTCAACCACCACGCACCCAACCCACCCAACCAACTCAGCCGACGCAACCGACTCAACCGTGTCCGTGGCAGACAACCCGACCTACCAAACCCTGTCAAACAACTAGACCAACACGTCCTACTAAGCCCTGTCAAACAACTAAACCAACACGCCCTACTAAGCCCTGTCAGACAACTAGACCAACCCGACCTACCAAACCCTGTCAAACAACTAAACCAACACGCCCTACTAAGCCAACTAGACCAACCCGACCTACCAAACCAACGCGAACTCCCAAGCCAACACCACCTACCAAACCCTGTCAAACAATTAAACCAACACGGCCTACTAAGCCAACTAGACCAACCCGACCTACCAAACCAACACGGCCTACTAAGCCAACTAGACCAACCCGACCTACCAAACCAACGCGAACTCCCAAACCAACGCGAACTCCCAAGCCAACACCACCTACCAAACCCTGTCAAACAATTAAACCAACACGGCCTACTAAGCCAACTAGACCAACCCGACCTACCAAACCAACGCGAACTCCCAAACCAACGCGAACTCCCAAGCCAACACCACCTACCAAACCCTGTCAAACAATTAAACCAACACGGCCTACTAAGCCAACTAGACCAACCCGACCTACCAAACCAACACGGCCTACTAAGCCAACTAGACCAACCCGACCTACCAAACCAACGCGAACTCCCAAACCAACGCGAACTCCCAAGCCAACACCACCTACCAAACCCTGTCAAACAACTAAACCAACACGCCCTACTAAGCCAACTAGACCAACCCGACCTACCAAACCAACGCGAACTCCCAAACCAACGCGAACTCCCAAGCCAACACCACCTACCAAACCAACGCGAACTCCCAAGCCAACACCACCTACCAAACCCTGTCAAACAACTAAACCAACACGCCCTACTAAGCCAACTAGACCAACCCGACCTACCAAACCAACGCGAACTCCCAAACCAACGCGAACTCCCAAGCCAACACCACCTACCAAACCAACGCGAACTCCCAAGCCAACACCACCTACCAAACCAACGCGAACTCCCAAGCCAACACCACCTACCAAACCAACGCGAACTCCCAAGCCAACACCACCTACCAAACCAACGCGCACTCCCAAGCCAACACCACCTACCAAACCAACGCGAACTCCCAAGCCAACACCACCTACCAAACCAACGCGCACTCCCAAGCCAACACCACCTACCAAACCAACGCGAACTCCCAAGCCAACACCACCTACCAAACCAACGCGCACTCCCAAGCCAACACCACCTACCAAACCAACGCGAACTCCCAAGCCAACACCACCTACCAAACCAACGCGAACTCCCAAGCCAACACCACCTACCAAACCAACGCGCACTCCCAAGCCAACACCACCTACCAAACCAACGCGAACTCCCAAGCCAACACCACCTACCAAACCAACGCGCACTCCCAAGCCAACACCACCTACCAAACCAACGCGAACTCCCAAGCCAACACCACCTACCAAACCAACGCGCACTCCCAAGCCAACGCCACCTACCAAACCAACGCGAACTCCCAAGCCAACACCACCTACCAGACCAACTACCGAACCAACCGTAACTACAAAGCCTACCAAACCCCCAGTATGTCCTCCCGTTTGTGGACCTGGTGGTCGCCCTTGTTGGGGTTGTCCTCCACGCCGGCTACTATGCCTAGATCTTCTGGCTGATATCAAAGCTCTGCAAATGATGCTGGAAGAATGCGTCTGTGCTGAAAAATAAGCAAATCGTACGACATTTTGGTTCGATCAATGATATATTCAAATATATCAAGTAACCACATTGTTGATGCTTAGATTGCAAGGAAACTAATCGAAAATTATTGAACAGATATAATATTGTTGAAATTAAAATAAATTGCTGATTAAAATATTAAAATAGAATATACAAAGTACTCCGAATGCCTGGATAAATGAAATGATAGCGCTAGAGCAACACGAAAATATCCATGTTTTAGCTGGCATAGCTGAACTCCGTATATGCGTATAGTATATGCATAGAGTTTTCGTTTTGATTCTCAGCCGGAACACTTTAAAACAATTTTCTAGCCAGCGAGCTCCAAGCGAAGCGAATAAAAGATGCTGCGAACGGGGCACTGACTATTTATTTGCCCCAAATTGCAATGGGGAGAGTGGCAGGTAGTTGAGCTATGTTGAACAGTTGGAACTCACCATTCCTCCACACACACACTCATACACATACACATAGACAGACAAGGATGCGCTGTGAAATTCATTCACACGTAACAGCACCGAGAAACCAATGGGAAGAGCTGAGCAATTCTCACTTGTTGTTTTTGTTTGTGGCATGCTAAAGAAACTTTGCTTCATAACTTTACATTGAGGAAGATGCATATGCAACACGTTCGAGCCATTCAGTGTTGCACCAACTTGCAATTGAGTGCAGCTATATATATATATTTATATATCTATCTATATGTATATATAAACATACACTACACGTCAGCGGGATAACCCTTCACTGGATAACCCTTCGCTGGTGTTGATTATTTTCTGGTGAACATTTTTTATTTCAAATAGAGTTCTGTAATTTTGTTTAACCAAAACCCATTTAATATGGAAAATCAGGCCATATTGCGCACCTTTTTAATTAGACGGTATTATTCTTTGATAAGAAATAAATAAATAAAATAAAATTTAAAAAAAGTGAACATTTTAAGCAATTTTTTAATAAAAAATATTTATTTAAATATTTAAAAATATGGACCCAACTTTCATATTATTTTAAAATGAATAAATTAGTTACAAATTTATAATGCAATTTTTGTTATATTATATTTGCTGTAATGATTCAGAGGTAATTTTTATATTATTTTAAGTGGAATAAAAAAATAAAATAAAATAAAAGCATAAAATATAGTATGTTTGCTATACTGCAGAGTTCGCTATCCTGATGAACACAGAGTATGTGAGTTTTACATTCCAAGGTTACGTATACATACGTATGTGCAATATTTTCTACAGTTGCGATTTTTCTTTGAACCGCAGTTAGCTCAGCTCAAACGTCAAGAGTAGCTGATGAAATTGTGCCAAGTATGAGTGACGGCCGGTCGGGTCGTCGTCAAGTTAATTGAAAAATAGTGTTTGCTATTTTATGGCATTGCCCCGAACTCTGTTGACAGTTAAACATCAGAGCAGCAGGCAAAACGACAACGGAGTGGCTGCGGTTGCTTTCTGTCTCTTAACGTTTAATTAATATGCAGTTGGATGATATGCATTTAGATGGAGATTTCCGCAGGCAAAGCAGCAACACAGCGAACTTTTAATAATTAAAAAATTCGAGGTATTAATTATGTACCATATGTATATAGTATATATTTCTTTGACGGTTGTTCATTTAAAATGCCTAGAATCTAGATTCGATATTGTATCAACATTACTTAGAGAAAGCGTTATAAAACTAATATTTCATATATTCATTTCATTTCTAATACTTAATTAAAAGCTATATATATAATATATATTTATTAATGTTCACTTTATCATGAGTAAAATGTAGTACTTGGCTCATTATTGAAACGTTCGTTTTAGCAATGTTCCCTGATTCAAGTCTAATTTCTATTGTGTGTGCATCGTTGCCTTATGTATTCAAAATTAAAGCTGCATATTTGTTTACATTTCAATAATTCTATGCTTAAGACGAATGATCAGCGTATAACTGATGGCCGTAATTTCAATTTAGCTTCTCTAACTACGCAATTCCATAAATATTAATATCAACTATACAGCCAACAGGTTTACAACTTACGATATGTTGTAACTAAATTGTTGCAAGCACAAAAATTAAAATGTTGAATAAATCTTTTTAATATATATTTAATTTGGTAAACTAGTATTCGTTGTTGTGTTTAATGAGGCTTATGTTAATTTATTTATATTATGTACAATCAACAAAATTAATGATATGATAGCAAGCTGTTGAAACAAATTTTCAATAATGAGCTGCATATGCTTTTGAATTCTATTTGTTGATTTTTGTACCCATTAAAAAAACTATTTTGCGATTAGAAGCTAAATCATTAAATTTAATAGTCTGTCCTTTCTTCTTAATGAAATTATATAAATGTATTTATAATTATTTTACTCCAAATGATATTTGTTTTGTCGATTTGCAAACGTCTTTGTAATTGCAGCTTTTCAAGCTTGATTTATACAACCTCCTAGCTGGAACAACAACAGAAATATGCTTAGCTAACTAAATTAAACAATTGTCTTTGAACTTTATATGATATAATAGCGTAGTCTATAAGGAATTTACGATAAACATAAGCGTTCAATTACAACTAATTAACAATATGACTACGATTTGTATTTAAATCATTCTTACGCTTTTTTATAATTTCTATGAGAACCGAAATGGAGACCTGTTATAATTAACAACAAGTAAATATACAATGGAAATCATTTTTAATCTAGGCTTTTACAAATTGTGCTTTTTCCTGCTTATATATGTATATAGTCTCTAATTTGAACAAATTCTAACAATATTGAACAGAAAATTTTTTTTATAGCTATGAGTATTCTTAGATCTTTATAGTACGACGGTTGAAAAGTTGGCTTAGGCTCTGAGAGCTTCCGCTGTGGGAGCTCAGCTCAGGAAATATGCGTGGCTTTTACTCTTGCCATTTTTACTGATCGTTGCAACGAGGCCTGATAGGGAAGAAAGAGCGAACGGCGGGTTCAGAGATTATCTGTAATAATTTACGAATGATATTAATACACACCTTCGCTCTCCGAGGCTCTTGCCACGCCCATTTGCTCAAGTAATCGAAAGAGTGCACCCAAATTGGAACGTTCATCCATGTATCTGTTCTCCAGACGCACCACAGCGGATTTTTTGTTTTTCGTCTGCGTATGCCAGACAAGGATCTCGGTGCAGTTGTTGCCTCGCGGTTCGATCTGATCGATGTGTAGTCCAATGCTACGTAAAAACAAATCCTCCTCATAGCCCGGCTTGTAGGGCATATTGACATTCGGATACTGCGCCATATACGACAGACTCACAGCGAAGCCAGCCATGTCGACAGGCCAGCGTCGACCCGCCACCCAAGAGTCCAGAAAGGCCACAACTTTGCCCTGACAAATCGAAAAAATATAGATTAATTTATGGTGAATAGATTGGGATTCGAATTATCTAATATTTACTTACCTCTCGCACTACCGGCCCACTGATTGCATATTCCGCTATCAGTCCAACGGGAAACATGGAGACACGCTGGGTGTGCCTAATTTCTGAGAATAATCTTAGATCGTACGTATTGTCATCGTCCCCAAAGTAGAGCACACCGTTGGTTAGGTTATGCTGATGCAGCCATTGGAGAGCTGCACGCCGATTGGCCACGCCCCGCGGCGCTGGCTTCGCCTTGCGAAACTCACTGGGCATGGGACTGGCCATATGAGTGTAGGGAATACCTGGGGAAAATTTGTAGAATATATAAATAATTCACACAGACACAGATAGCTTTGTCGGCAAAGCAGTGACAAATCTACCATTTATTTGAGCAAACTAAGAGATAGTGCACCTGGTAATAAATAAATATTTATATTTCTGAACAGAGATAATATAGCTTGGCATAAATAAACATTTATTCAGTCTGAGCATTCAATTGATAAGCCAAGAGATACGTTAGACTATTATCAGCTCGCATACGCTTGTAAACGCAGAGCTAAGAAATGCTTTTAAGAGAATTAACATTGACCGACTGCATAGGAAGAGAAGTTTGAAAAGTAAATATAAATATCACATTATCATGAACTATTTTGCAGATATACTTAAAACTATCAGTGCGAGGAGACTTTTTTTTAAATGCATTACTTTTAGACTGGACTATACTATTAATGTGATCTTATTTTAGTATTACGATGGATGTAGTCTTTGAGAGAATTACTCTTGAAGTAATTTACGTGTGAGATGAACTACCTTCGAAGGGAACTACTCATAAATTAGCTTTTGAGGTAACTCTTGTTACTTCACTACGCTTGTTGAAGTGAGATATTCTTGCCAGGAACTGCTTTTTCTCCTGCAGAGAACTCCTCTTGGAGTGAGTAAATTATTCTTGTCATCAACCTTTAATAGAGTGAACTACCCTTAGAGTGAATTATTTCAGTAGTGAGTTACTCTTTATGTGAACTTTCCTTGAGGTGACTAATTCTTGGAGCCAACTATTCTCGAAATAAATTCATCTTGGAGAGAACTATTTTTATTATAAAAGTCTTTAGATATAAAATACTCTTAGAGTGAACTATTCTTGGAGTGAACTACTCATGGATCAAATGAACTATACTTGGAGCCAACAATTCTTGTAATAAAATCTCCTTGGATTGAACTATGCTTGTAGTGAAATACTATAATAGGGAACTGCTTTTGAAATGAGCTACTCTTCGACTGATCGACTACCACTATTACTACTCTTGGAGTCAACTATTCTGCGATTCACCTGCTCTTGGAGTGATCTAAGATTACGGTAAACTACTTTTAGATAACCTAACCTGATCAAAGTTGAGCTGTAATTGAAGTTTACGTACCAAATCCATTAATTTGCGCATCCAGAAACGTATCACATCCCTCCCGATCATTGGCCACCAGCCAATGGAGTCTAGGCACATGCAGCAGGGTATACGCGAGCCGAGTCAGTTCGGGTATTTGCTCGCGTCTGGGATATGTTGGCGTTACGAAATAGATCACAGGCAGCTGTGCGTAGGCACTACGCGGCTTATCTCCTATATAGAGGCGACGATCCTCATGGCTCTCGCTGCAGATGTGCAGCGATTCATTCAGAGCATGCCCCATCATACTCCCTGCAAGAAAAATAAATAGAGCAACAAATGAGAATACCATGGAAATCTTTAAATGTGAACTGCCTAAAATTAGGCAAGACTTCTGTGTGTTATTTTCGTGCACCCCCACTGACGTGACCACTGGCCTAGAAAAAACAGCTCATGATTCGCAATGCGCGCAACACTTTCCTTCTGTGAGTGCTCAAGTATTTTGTGTTATTAAAGCACATAGTATAAACATATATGTGTTTACATACATATATATATTGTATATGCTTATGCTTTATATAACCTTTCAAGTTTATTATTATAATATTCAATCCGCCTGAGAGCACAAGCGAACGCTATTTATAATTGTTCTCATTAAGTGCATAATACAATTGGCCTAGCCCAGATATAGCTACATATATAAATACCTGTGTATATATATAAATTTATTTGCGTAATCATTAAGGCACTTTCATTAGTTCATTCCGTTCAACTGGTTAAACAATCTAAAATAGTATGACAATATTGAGTTAATTTCTATATTAAACATGTCGCTTCTTACAATCTTTGCCCATAAGTGATAATCTGTAATGTCGATTAGCTTCAAGTATTAAAGACATATCTATATCATGTTGGTAATGACGCAATGGCACTAAATGCCGTCATTTTGTCAATTGTTATATGATAGATGGTTGAAGCGCTCGCATATGCATTTTCAAAACAATATCAGCCTCTATAATAATGCTTTATATGCAGCTCGTTATCTGATGAAACTGTATATTATGAACGTGATAGATATAGAGTGCAATTTGAGAACCCTTGCAAAATATATAATTATATGCCAAGTTGACCTCAGTTAGGGGCATTTAATTAATTAACTTTTTCGATTCTGCTATCTACTTAGTCTACTTATATTATCATCGACTGGGTGCTTATTTATTCATTAATTCATCTATGTATATAGGCATAGTGCATTATTAAATTAAGAGCTGGATTGATAAGGTTCGCAATTAGTTTAAATGCAATTTGTTTTATTCTATGAAAAGCCATTCAGCTGATTGCGCCAACTGTCATTTACGTGCGTGACTAATCGGGAAAGACTAACTGAAACGCAATTTTATACGGATTGAGTCTATGCATAAAAAATCAGGTGAATCTAATCTACACCTACAAAATTTGACACTTTAGTTACTGTTGAGAATCCCTACGAATAGAGAGAGAGAGAAAGAGAGCTAGAAATGTATTTATTTATATTACCTTAGAAAAAAATAACTAAACATGTAGATATCAACGTGCAAAGGTTCCCAAAATGACTAATCATGCCTGCAAATCAACAAGGGGCGTGCCAATAAACAGGACAGCTCCACCATAGAAAGACCCATAACTTATTCAATAAAGCATATAAAATCATTAAATTGTTTTTGAGCCGTTAAAAAAGAAAATGAATATATATTTTTTCTTTCGTGTTTTCATACATGTATTAAGAAAATATTATTAAAATGAATACAAACTTCTATTATAAGTAGAATCCTTAAGCTTTTCAATTTCATATTCAAACCAAAGTAAACTAGAGATTGCACGAATTATGAACCAACATAGTTTATTATTTATTATTTATATGCAATGCAATTATCTTTGACATAATGCCTTTTAAGCCCTTTCTAAATTGCTTTCCCTTAATCACTAAAAAAACACAAAAATTAAATTCAATTAGGTAATGGAATCTCGCATAGCTCTTTTATGCACAGCTATATTAATTCGGGTAGCTTCTGTTACATAGCATGTGTATATGATAAATTAGCGTTAATGTGCTTTTCAATCTTCCATAACGGGGAAAAAGCCTCATTAAAACAGTCCCTTGATATATCTCTATTGAGTCTGAAACACGCAAGCCGCCACGGCCCAAGATATGGGACCGCCGATAACTTTCACATGTGCATTAATGGTAATAGCTAAAACTGTTTTGGCTGGCAGCCATCTATCATCATTGGACAGTTAGATCAGGTAGACGACGGCTGGCCGAACAGACGAACGCTCACAATGCTATGCGCTTGCAATGTGAGCTCAATAAAATAGCGCCAACCGTGTCCCCCATACTGTAAACAGAGCGCCACAGTAGGGGGCGCCCTCCATTGTCAGAGGGAAACGTCTGTGCTCGGGCCCTGTGACTGTGCCGATGCCTGTGCCTGTGTGACTGTGTCTGTGCCTCTTAAGTCAAGTATTTACTCTTATTATGTATAAACAATCAACAGTTTGTGCATATCAAAGACTGCTTTAAATCGTAGCGTCTGCTCAATTATATGCCAACTCTACGTCTGCTCGAAACACTTGCGGCAAACACCTGATAAGACTCATATATCAAATCGGTTGACGACGCTTTGACTGCAGCAGTGGGGCGTACAGAGCTAAGAACTGTGACTGTGCGAAATAAAGTTATGATAAATATGTAATGATATCCTTCTTACATAAACAGAGGAATCTTGACAATATAATAGTGAAAAGAGATAGCACAATGTAAGATCTTATTTTTTGTGTATGCTACATGGAAATATAATAGTCTTGGAGTTATGCTTAAAATAATCATGTATTAAAATTTATTTTAATAATTTAACTTTTATAGTTTCAACAATAAATAGATTCATATGCCACATTTCCTTACATAATCATCATTCCCTTTGAAAATTTAGGGTATTTGTCGAAGAAATATATACATACATACATGTATGTCCAATATATCAAATTAATGATTAATCAATTTGAAGGTGAGCACATTTCGTAATTAGAGTAATTACTCTAATCAAAGCAATGGGAAAATCCCTTTTCCTTTTTGCTTTGGGGAATATTTGCTCGCAGGTCTCTGTCTGTCAAAAATTCTACTTATACATATGAGAACCCAATATGAACCGGAGAATTTCGATGGAATGGCAGATTTATTGATAGAGACTCACATGATTGTATACAAATTTCTCAAAAAAAAAAAAAAAAAAAAAAAATTATATTCCAATGACTATACATCAATAAAACTACGAATGAATCATCTTAGTACTCCCCGATAACATCATAACAAGTACAACTTTACGGTTATTATCAATTTCAAGTGCCAATAGCTCATATATTATTATTATTTTATTATTTTTTTTTTTTTTTTTTTTTTATTTCTGGTTGCCTACGATACATAAACATCATTTAGCTTTTTTACCCCATTTGTTAATGAAAACAGTAAATAGGGAAAAATAAATAATTTAATGGAAGTGAGCTTTTGAATAGATTTTTTTTTTACCCCGAATCCGTTAAAAATAGTAATGTGTAAATGCATTTAACATAAAGTATATAGCATATATATTATTGATTCGAGTAATAAGCTGAAGCGATATAGCTAGACGTCTGTCCATCAGCATGAACAAATTTACCGTATTTTAAAGTAGAAAGCAATACAAATTTGTTTACACAAAAGTCGACATTTCCATGAAAATGTAATAAAAATGTTTTTAAGATAATTATATATTTTTCAAATTGCTTTTTTTGTATGGACAATACTTAAATTAGTTTTTTAATCAACTTTGCATAGAATGAAAATATGATCAAATAACAATGTTAAAATATTTAAGATATTTTCTCATATCGTAATGGACATTTCCGTAAATAAATTAACAAAGAAATAGTTATTTAACTTTTATTATTTGTTCTAGATTATATCCAAATACATTGTATTTACTCTCCAGTTTGCAGACAAATGAAAAACTCGAATAGTTTTTAAAATAATCTTCTATATATACTATATTGTAAAACTTGATTCATTCAGTAATCTTTTATCAGCTCTCACATTTGCATTCAACACAATAAATTATTATTGTTGTATATACATATATACAAATCATTAGTCATTTCCTTTATTATATATTTGTATTTCTGTATTGTATTGTTGAAATTGTACTCGATATGCACGTGCCGTTGCCATCAATTAGCTAAATCGCGTGCAATTTTAATGCCAACTTTTGACTGACTAAATGCATATGTAAGTAAATACACAATCCAAAAATCGTAAATTTCTGTGCACACACAATTTAAGGTCTCGTAGCGTGTCCTAAGTGCATGCACTTGGGAAACAAAAGTCATGCCAAAAAGTCATAGAATTTCGATGCAAAAACGTGAATTTGCACAGATTTGCCTAACAGAGATTTGTTTGATAAGAGTATTAAGTGCTATCGATTCGTAGTTCAGACTAAGAGACGAGTATTTGAAACTAGAACACTTAAAAGTCCATTATCTATTCCATTAATTCCATTGTTGTCGACAGTGCAAAAGAAAAAAATGCAATTAAGTCATTAAAAAGAAGGAAAATAATAACAGTAATGTGTATTCGAGTCGCTTTTGAACTTGGAAACAGTTGACAGTTTCCATTGTTAATTGAGACAGAGCAATCAACGCGACTGTGTTCCAGTTAGTTAATGAAACTTTGCTCATAAATAAGTTTTGTTTATGAACTAAATATGCATGAAGATATTAGATTATAACGGGCTCTTTAATCACGGTAGTAGTTGATAGTTTTTTTTAATAAGTTAAAACAAGTTTTTAGGGAAATACGATAAAATTTAATTACATATGGGAACAAAAACTACAAACTGTAAAGATTTAAATGAAAATTAATTATTAGTTTCACAGAGTGTATAAATATCTGACTTGCGATTACCCAGTAGACAACGTCCAGATGTAACTAGATAAATAGTTAGGCTTTCCTATTTAAACATTTATATAATTGGCATATGCTTAAATATATCTCTATATAATTCTATTGAAAATCAGGAATTTTAATGATTTAATTTGATTGAAGGTAAAGTCAGCGCTTAAATGATTGAACTAAATTCTAATTTAGTCAGTTTTAAGGCCTAGTATTCCTTAAAATAAACATTTCATCTGATTGCCACTAGCATTTGTATAGAGTACTCGCCTTGCAGATACCTTGGAATAACACTAAAGCTTTCTTGTATTCTATACAAAAGTACCTAATTGATCAGTTGCGGGAGTCTATAGTAAATACTCATGCTTTCCCTACATATTTATATAAAACAATAACATCTAATTCCAGTCTATATTTACTCTGCTTTAATATTTGCTCACAAATTGCGTGCTTCAATTATTAATTAACAGAAATGTAAACTTTGAACTTTGAATTTTTTAAAGTGCGCCCATAAAGAATTTGAAGCAAAGTCTGTGGTGTTTATTTAATGATTTCTGGTTTTTGTTTTGTTTACATTCGCTGCGAGCATTGTTGTTTGAGAAATTTAGACGATTATATCACCAAAAAAAATTATGACTTCTGCGAACTGAAATCGAATCTGTATATAAAATTATGTCACTCTCTTTATTTTAGATTCGAATTATTTACACGCCACGCATTAATCACACATTCCACACTTTGGTAGCTGGATTTTCCGCAATTTTCATTTTGTAGAGCTCATTTGATAGTTTTAATAGCCCATTTGAGATTTTAACCATCAAAGATGTTTTACGGTTGTGAAAATGAATTCGAAATCGCGTGCCAATGCACCTAGAGGTGAATCAATCGATCGATGTCTGACCCGCAACGAAAGGCGAAATTATCTAATAAATTACGTATAAGGAATTAAAAGCGTAGAGCTGGAAAATGTGGCCTTGGCATGCACCGTGACTGGAAAATTGTTGCACGAAGATGTGGGTGGGCCACAATGGTAGGGGCAGAGAGTGGTGGAATTGTGGGGTGGAGGCTTTAGTGTATCGATAAAAATTTGTTGCTGAAAGAGACAATGCTTAGCAAATTAGGCCAATTACTGTTAAATAATAAACGACAGCAGCAACAACAACAAAAACAGTTAATAAACCAACCCAACCCGTCAGCTTACGTGCAATGATTGCCTCAACATTTGCTGGGCCTAAGCAGCGCCTGAAGTGGGAAAAGGTTGGGCAAGCGAGAGGTAAGAGAGTGAGAGTGAACGAACGGCATTGAGCGAAAAGTATGTGGCAGCAGAAGAGCGAAAGAGAGTGTGAGCAAGAAAGAGGCCGGGAGAGAGAGCAAGAGAGTGTGAGTGGCGTTTGAGTGTCGAGTGCTTGCTCGTTAGCCAGTTGTTTAGTTTACTTGAAATACCCTTACAGCGTGAACAACCTAAATTTGTAATGAAGTAGGTGAAGGTTTTTTGGAATATAATATTATAAAATTTATATATTTTCAATATGATAAAAGCTTTGCAGGATTAAAGCCAAACGGAAGCACGAGAAAATAAGAAGCGAAGCATTGAATTAACATTTAAGGCTAATGCGACAGACAGAAGATATGAGAAAGAGGATTTTATGAACCTCTTTAAGATATTCTAGTTGACTTAAAATTAGAATAAACTTGATAAAAAGTAATATTTTATGTTCAATCCATGTCCATAAAACTTTAGCTGAACTTTATAAATTCACATTTTTGTTATAAATTTGTAATATTAGTTTACATTAATAATATCGAACTAAAAAAAATAAATTAATAAATAAAGAAATCCATTCAGATCTAATTATTTATTTATTTATTTAAGTCAACATTTTCTAGACCCCATTCAAATTGTAGAGTATTAATAGTGCGACTATCCATGATTAGGTTTTTTGTCAATATATTAAAATTGCGACTTGGAAGGTGAGGTTATGCCACAGCGACCAATAAGTTAGCTGTAAAGGTCTCCGAGGAGCACGCTAATAAAAAAGTCGTAAAAATTTCATGAAACTAGAAATTTGGCGGCTCGCATACAAATCATGTCATAATACACATTTCAGGCAAACTTAATTTTTGTACTATTTGTTTTATATATTATAATTCATGATTTATTTGACATAAATGAAATTATATTTCATAATTCATATTAAATGAATATAATACGGTTATTGCTGATATGCGTGCTGAGCTAATTACAAGTAAATTGTAAGCCAGATTTTGTGAGGAAAAATTATGTTATATATATATTATAGTTATTCTAAAGAAGCTCTTCATATGTAGTTTTCATTATCCTTCTTTTATTAATTATTATTAAAATATATTTGATATATATTATTAATTTATTTATGTATTTTCTTTATATATTGTATATATATAAGTTGTATTATTTTGATTTGGCTAATTATTATTATTTTTTTCCAAAACATATTTCCCTCTTCCTATTATATAATATTTAAAATTTGGCATATTTTTACTATGTTTATTTGTTTATATTTAGTTTAATTAAATATTGTTTTATTTTTTATATTATATTATATTTATATTTTGTTTTATTATTTTTATTAATTTTTATTATAATTAATTAAAATTATATATATTTGAACTAAAATTTTTTCAACATATCAAACGACAAACTGAATTAGCAAAACGAAACTCCTCAGAGCCCGTTTGTAGCGTAGCGCAGCAAAGCGAAAAAAGTGAAAGTCTTGGCTTAGATTTACTTTTATAGCACTCGCAGAAGTTGCAACAGTTGCAATGTCAGCCAACAGGAGTCGGCAGTGGTCAGCAGTGGGGCAGCTACGTGAAATGTAAGCAGCTATGTCTGTATGTATGTATTTATCTATACGTGTGTGTACGTATGTATGTACAAAAGCAGGAAGCGAGTGACGAATACATTGGTCTGATAAGACGAGCTGAATTGCTCATACATTAAGCGCCTGATTAGCTGCTCGCTCTCTTGTTTCCGTTCAAAAACCAAACAGCAAACAACAAACAAACGAACACAACACAACAGAACACAAACAAAAACAAAGAAGAGGCAAGCACAAAGGAATGTAAACAATCGACTTCGAATTGGGTTTGGGTTTGGGTTTGGCTATGAAGTGTTGGATGCGAATGCATAAATCGAGTAAATGGAGAGTATGGAGAATGAAGATTTAGGCTTACGTATGCTTCCATGCGTGCTCTTGCTTGCTATTATGGTCGCGTGGAATGGATGATAGTCAGCTGTCGTCAGCCGCGTCGTCGTTAAGCTTAGTTTTATGTGCCGCCGCTTACCTATGCCGTTATGCGGGTCGACGTCTCCGTCGGCATCCTCCGAGTCTTGCGACTGTGGACTGATCACAAAGTAGATCAGAAAACAGACGGGCAACAGGATCAACATGATATATACAAAACGCCGGAAGCCGGAGTTGCCGGCACGGCCGTAACGTGACGCCGCCATGCTGCCACCCATCGATGGCAATTCGTCAGCCAGCTGGGGATGGTAGCGTATCCGTCCGTTGGACTGTGACTGCACGCCCGTTTCGCTTGTCCAGCGCTCGTGATGCTCCGCGTCGAGATGTTCGATGAGGTCGACGACGTCGTCGTCGTCGTCGTTGTGGTCGTGATCGGCGCGCAGCTCGAGTGGTTGATAGTGGGCACTTGGCATTGTGCAGCTGCTCTAATACGGCGCAGGGCAGCTGTCGCAGCAGCTTCCAATGGGTGGCGATGGTGGTGGTGCTGCTGCTGCTGCTGGTGGTGGTGGTGGTGGTGGCAACTGCAACTCCAACTGCAACTGAAACTGCGGCAGCTGATGGAAGAGAAGGCACAGATGACGACAGCGCCGGGCTGTGTTTGCCATTTGTGAACCTAAACTTTGATTCTTATTTTTGTTTATCTGTTGTTTATTTGTTGTTTTTTTTTTTTAGTTTTATTATAATTTATTTTTTGTTGGGTTTCTCAGACGCTTTTGACTCTCGACCTATCTATCTATGCATATATACATCTGCAATTATACAATTCGTTCATCGTTACGCGTCGTTCACTGCGTTTAATGTTAATCTTAAACAATATGTATATTATTTTCTTTATTATTGGCCAGTTGTCGCAAAGGTCTCTCTTTCTATATATATATATATATATATATATATATCTATGTATCTTTGTATATATGCAAAAAAAAAATCACATCAACTCACACAAAACGAACGCACAAAGCCACAAACACACGCGATTGAGAGAATGCCGCATGCTTTTTTAGGTGCTCAGCAAAGAGACAAACAACAATACAAGGCAACGACTACTGAAAAAGTGTTGCTTAATATTAATTCTATTACTTATTTCGCCTACTATTCGCAGTCGCCTATTTTGTTGTTGTCTCGATGAGTTTGACAGCAACACTGACACAGCCGATGGCAGTCAGAGCTCCCTAACATTTGCCGAATGGAGCGCATTTGGCTCTCTCCCTCTCTCACACGCTCTCACGTTGCCCATTATTGGGCACAGCTGGTGCCACCCAGAGTTGCTCTGTTTTACACTAGTTTTTGTCGTGGTTGGTGTCTTTGCTAAATGTTCATGTCAGTTTAGTACTAAAAGTTCAGGCTCTTGGCGCGCATTTACAAATTATTTTACTACAGTTTTTACACTTTTAATACATAATCTATTCTTCTTTAAAGTAAACCACTAAAAAGTAGTTTTTGCCATTTCTAAATTATTTTGTTAATAATTTATAATATTAATATTAATATTTCTGTTAATAATATTAAATAAATGAATAAATTAATATATATCAAATAAATTAATAAATAAGGTTTTGGATAAGCAATTTCAAAAATTATTGCTTATTAAGATTTTGTTAATTTTAATTATATATTTTATATTTTATTATATTTATTTAAATATTGTATTTATTTTGGCTATAAAATTTGATAATCAAACAATTATTAATATTTAAAAAAAAAAAAAAAAATTGTTTAAATTTATTTTGTATTGCAGCAAAGAGAATGTTTATATTAAGATTATATGAATTTGCTTTAAAAGTGATTCAATACACTTGATTGAACATTTTATAGGGAAAAATTGGGAACTAGCCCATTCATGATTATTGCATTCCATTATTTATACAGTCGAGTCTTGATAATTCGATAAGCTTTTTTTTTTTATTGACACAGAAATTTAAATGATCGAGCATTATCGAGAACAAATTATGTTCAAGGAGATAGAATTGTTTTATCGAAAATAGAATTGTTTTTATCGCGATTATCGATTTAGCGGGGTACACATAACGAAACTCTAGTGTACGTACTTCTCAAACTAATTCCATTGTGACAGAAACTTTTGTTCAGATTTAGTTTCGGATTTTAAGAATTCAATGTGAAAGAGACATTTGTCTATGAAAATAAAAATGAATCAAATGGAATATTTATATAAATATCTGCAGAAATTAAGATGTCTATGATCTATGAGTTGGTTTTATGTCTTGGTTGACAATCCGCTTATCCCGACGACTTTTTTTTTTTTTTTTTAATTTTTAAGGTATTCACTGGCTATTACGATGTGCCGAAAAAAGCGAAATATGACAAAAAATTTCAGTATAAAAAGACGCTGTTAGAAATATATACTTATATATATGTATTTATCAGTGATTAGAACCCTCGCTTGTGTGCGTAGCAGCAACACAAATGCTGCTAAGACACAGAGAGAGAGACAATCTGCAATGCCGACGTCACACAAATGTTTCTATACTATGTTATTGAAATAAATTTATTAAATCTTTTTGTTTTGATTAAAAAATTAGATCGTTTTATGTTAAAAGTTTTAACTTAAAACCTGTTACAAACATGGCAACCGTCCTCCGGGTATAGCGACGTAAAATCGTCGGGTCCTTGAGTGTCCGGATTCCACTGTATACATATGTATATCTCTGTAGGCCAATCAGCCTGGGTGCAAAAAGACTTTCTTATCAGAAATGACTTTTCATTTTTATTGGTTCAATTGGTAGACTTTTTAGACCTGACTAGTATCTTATCTAATCTGGAATAGTTTAGCCTTACCTAGTAACTGAAAGTCAAGTAAAATTTCCCTCTCTTTGGCATTGACAAAAGAAACTTACATTACAGGGTATACACTTGAAACAAGGAAATTCTTTTATGTTTTAAAATTGATTTATTTTGCTTTTTCTGTTTGCTGTTTCTTGTGAAATGTTTTACAATGCAATTGCGGTACAAAAACGAACTCGTCTTATTTAGTTTAGTTAATTAAAGCAAATAATTTTTACAATTTTTGTTTTCTCTTTCTTTTATGTTACATTTAAAGCCACTTTTGTATTTTGAATTGTTTGTTGATGCTGCGCTGCAGGGTGTTGGACACGCCAAAACATTATATGTGAAATATAATTGAAAACATTTAATCTGAGCCAATCAAAGTGCTAGAATTAGTTCGATTAACTGTGTGTGAGTATGTGTATGTGTATGCGTGTGTCTGTGTCGCAAACATAGCAAACTTATGGAATACATAATTAACTAAATGGTATTAAGAGAACTTAGCGAATTGTCGACGACAATCCCTTATTACAAAGAAACAAAAAATAAAGAATTTTAAGAAGAGGCATTGAGGTTTAACTTCTATTGCAATTGCTCTTAGATGAGCCTCTGAATGGTCTCGGTCAATCGGGTGGCATTGGCGCCAGCGAACTCCTCCACCTTGACGGAGTTCTTGATGAACAGGAACGTGGGCATGCTGGATACGTTGTATTCCATGGCAATGTCTTCGCACTCATCGACATCAACCTGGCGAGCAACAAAAAGCAACGATTAATTGTATATCAATTGTATTAGGATTGATTAGGTTCTCTACCTTGATCACAACAATCTTTTCGGAAAACTGCTGCGCCAGCTCCTCCAGCTTGGGCGCAATCATCTTGCAGGGTCCACACCAGGTGGCAAAGAAGTCTACAACGACCAGCTTATCGCCCGCATTCGTCAGCTGTGTCTTGAAGTCGTTCTGCAAATAACAGAAATGAGGTTATGTTTTAGATTTAGTCAAACATGGATTATAATATACCCTAATGAACTACAACAATTCCATTAATATTTTTGCTCATGCATAAGAAGATTTATAAATATAAAAATTTAAATGTATTTAGTAAATATATGTGGGGGCTTTAGTTCAGATTGAAAGGTTTGATTTATATAAATGAATTTTGCTTATATAGATACTTCAAAATTGTTAAGACTTGGGCTTTTTCAATTGAAAAGGTAAAGAATAAAATATAATAAAATGAACATATTTATTCATTTTAATTTATATTTGATATAAACAATGTCACCTAAAACTAAGTATTAGTATTCTTTTCATTTTGTAGTTATTGCTGTAAGACTAAATACATTCTAGCAAATGCGAACTCCTATAGTTCTTCTTGCATGAAGAATATGTTTTGGTTTTTCATGATTTGATAGGGTTTTTTATACAGTCTATTTTTTACTTAGTTGGAATTTTGTTTAAGATAATTTACACACATATAATATTAAATAGACATACAAAGTCTTCTTTATATCGTTAACTCTATTGCAGCATGAAGTTGCTTTTTTTACAGTGCTGGAATATAGTATATCTTATCGAATTAATGCAGCTATATATTTTTAGGCACAATAAAGTCCCTTGAATTGTAAGATAATATACTAGGCAATTAGCTTTATTGGCTTCTTATCGTATTATCTGCACATACATATTGCTCAAGATATATCAGCTATTAAATGCAGAGCCTTATAATATACGGTATTTCCAAGCTGTAGCTCCTATGCCTGTAATTTCATATACATATATTATACTTAGTTACTATCAGCTATATCAACTACAAGCTGCTTTATAAAGTTCTTTTCAGAGTGAATTTTTGATTATGTTGAGCACTTATATATGCTAAATATATAGTGTGCATATATGTAATTAGTAGTTCTTATCGCTTTGGAGGCCAACATCGATCGATTTTGTTCGTTCTACTGTAGCACGTTGCTCCTTATCAGTGCGTGCTTTAACAAGTGTGATAAGCACGTTCAGTAACCCCGTTTAGTGTATCAAATAAGGAATGCTGTTTGCAGCACTTCCATATACACATTTTATATACAAAATTTACATATACATATGCATATATAAACATTATATACACTTCAACTTTTATCCGCATCTATATCATTTTGCATTCAAATATTTGTGTGTGGACTGTTACTTATTTGCCCAGCCAGTGAAGCGTTCCACCCTTGTTTTCGCCCAACCACGTGAACAGCGAGCCATTTGCTTAATTGCTTAATCATCGACAACGTGTCTCATTCAAATGGGACTCGCGAGTCGGTGCGAGTAGAACATAACTTAACTTTTGACCTGAATCTAACTATGTATTTGCACACACAGAGACACAAGCACACACACAGATACTCGTGCAAACATGCTTAAAGCTATTTCGCAATATTTTCTATATTTTGAATTAAATTCCAAAATGTTTTTCGTATATCTTGAACGTGTCTGTATTAAATTTCAACAAAATTCTTAATGCATAATTTTTGTATATATTTTTCTATACGCTGGACCCATTTAAATTGCGAAATCCGTATAATGGACGGTCCATTGGTCTAAAATCATAAATTCATTCATATTTAGAATTCACAAAAATTGAATAACAATTATTTTGCTAAACATATTTCATAATTTATGTATAAATTCGAATTCAATTTGCTTGGGAATTATTTGATTTTAACTCTTCTTGAATCACATAAAAACATAATTCAAATGTCGAAATTTTGTAGAAATATTTTTGCATTTGTTGAATGTGGCTGTATTATATTTCACAAAAATGTCGATTGACCCATATTTAAATATAAATTCACAAATATTTTGATTGACCTCAAACACTTATAAATACATATATATGCTTGATTTCCTTCAATCTGAACAAAAATCTAGAGAATTGCGATTTCATTGCTTTTAAAAATGTATCAACATCTCAAAATAAATAATTCTTATACAAATGTGTTCAATCATAAAAATTCCTAGTTTACTTGGAACTACACCTGGACTTTTTCTACACCTTTATAAATTTCATGCTTTTAATCTCAAACGAAATATAAATTCATTTCTATAATCACTTTATAAATACACAAAAATTCAAGTTTTTCAATTCAATATAAACTAGAAATAAATATCTATATTACAAGTAATTATACGTATCTAATCTAGATATTAGATATTGATATTCATTCAAAACATTTCTTTCATTGAAACTCTCGAGTCGCTCGTAAATTGATGTACTTTTCTACTTCCATATTCATAACGAATCAATATTGAAACAATTGGCATGTTAGTGGGCGTGTATTGTACTATAATGTGGGCGTGTACTAACTAGTTGTACTTTCACCTAAACATTTGCATTGATTAGTCTTGGTCCTAGTCCGCTCCGCCCCTGTCACGTTCTGTTGAATGACCTTTTATTAATTGCAGTCATTTGTAGCACGACATTTTGTGTTCATTGCTGAGTGATTCATTGTGTTTGAGCTGAGGCTCGAATTGTACTACTTCTAACTGTCTACAGTTAACGCCAGAAATGACGAACCGTAACAGTTAATATGTGTTCATTTGTTGTAGGCACTGTGATTCCAATCTCTTTATTATTTTAATTCGACTCACAAAATGAAACTAACTAAGCAAATCCATCTGGAAACCGGTTGCCCCTTGGCCCCATGGCAACTAAAATGATTTAACTAAATATATATATATAGTTAACTTGTTTTCGCATTTATATGCACTTTTGTTGAATGGAATTTGGCTACAATTCCGAGCTGCCTACACAATATCTAAAACCGAGCTGTGAGACATGCGCGTGATTCATATATTTCTGTTGATTTATCTTATCCTATTGATTGAAGATTTTACTCACGGCATCAGCTGGAATTATCAATGAGCAATAATTTACTGTCGCAATTACAAAATTATTGGGAAATGTTTATACAATTTCATCAACCCTAGTTGCAAATAGCTTACTTATTTAAATAGTTGAGATCTTATCACCAATATACATATATGTTTAATATTTTCTCAAAAACACATCTAGAATTCTTAAAAATAGTTCAAAGCATAAGAAATTCAATTCTATACGCCTCATAATGACTCATTTAATGTTTTTAACAATTTTTAAATATATTATTTTTATTTAAATAGTATAGAATTATAGAATTATAGTTGAATGCTCACAGAGATTTACATGAATAGTTGCAAATCGTTTGACTAATAAATAATATATTAATATACTGGAAATATTGGATTTGCGGCTTATATTATATTAAATTTAAATAAAATGAAATACATCATAAGTATATGAAATAAATTATTAAATACTAATGTATATATTATTTTCTTTGCTTTTTACTTATAACCTTAGAATAATCTAAATATTATTTTGTTTTATATGGACAATGAAATAATGAGTTGAACAATATTAAATATTAAATTATAAATTGAAAATAAAAACATAATAATAAAAAATAAAAACATTTTTAAAGCTGTAACAATTTGAAATTATAGAATACCTTTTTATATTTATAAAATTAAATTATATATAAAATTGAAATGGATTTATGTATTCTATATTCGAAAAGTTTTTAAATATTGTTTCATGTATATCTTACATTTGAGTAAAATATTTGAAGAATAATTTCATAATTTGATGACATTGATATGAATCATACATCATAAATATTGCGCAAAATTTTTTTTTGTTTTTCTTTGATTACTAAGAAATTAGAGCTGTTTCTGTTTTTTTTTTTTTTTTTTTTTTTATTGTTATTGTTGACAACATTGACAACATTGATAGAACTGTCTTGAACCAAGTTTTGTTAAAGTTATAAATATTTATTAAATACACATGAGCTTACATTTTTTACTTGAAATTATAGATTGTTTCTACAGGTAAATAATAATTGCAAAAGCTGGGACACTATTTTGTGCACTCTGACTAGGGTTACGAAATCGAATATTAACGTGAGAGCTAATTAGCAACTTGTGACAGTGGCTTTTCCTGTTCTTTATCTGACGAAATTAAAATTCTTTATCAACAATTCCACCTGATATTAGAAACCGGATATATGCATTCCTAAAGCAAAGTTTGTATGACTGTTGCCTAAATAAAATTCTTTACAAATATTTTTATTTATTTTTTAAGTTTTTTAAGTTTTATTATATGGTTATAGATTGAAACTTTAAAATTTGATAAGGCACTTGTTTACTTTAGTTTCTAGATTTTTGTTTATTATTTTTCTAGCCTTTCCAAGTGAAATCAAATGCATTCACATTCAACAATAGATGTTTTTTGTATATCAACAATTCTTAACCACAATAAAATATATTATATATACATGTATGTATATTTGTTTGTAAATGTATTTTAAACATATACACACATAAAGACATGTTTATTTCACTGAATGATCTAATGAGAACCTTGTGACGTCATAAAAAAAAATATTTTGAAAAATCTTAGTTCTATTTTTTTTATATTGCGTGCCCATAAATAATTAATATATTCACTAAGCTGACGTAAGACGTATTTCTTTTAGAAATGTCAAAAGAAGGTGTTTAGTTAGCATTTTATGGAAGTTGAAACCGGTTTTCGTAGCTTTCGCTGGCCCGCCAAAAGCGATTAAAGGGTAACACGAAGGCCAGCACACCCTGTGTCCCAGCTACAACTACAGCAACAACAAACATGCAAAAAAGTGTTGTTTTTTTTTTTTTACTGATAAATGAAATGCAAACTCATCGTGATGAAAATGAGGTTTGTCTAGTAAACTAGAGGTTAGCTAGTATAGCAATGCAAATACATTGCATAGTTTTGTATGTATATATTTATGTATGTACATATATACAATTGAGTACTTATGGTCTGTCGTCTAGTTGCTTTTTCACAATTCTTACACATACAAACCGTTCGAGAAGGCATAAAAAAATGAATTTGCTACTTTCTATGGCGACGCGTTGGCTTTCAATGAAGAGATGATATCATTGTCATATACTGGTTTTCTCTATGTACATACACATATATATAAATATATATATATATATTTGTTGTTTGTGTGAAGCGTATGGCAATTGGGGCAAACTATTGAAATGCGAGTGGGGCGAGGCGAGAGTGCAATATATTTTGCACATTACTTAACCTAATGAGCGAAAGCAATTACAATAATTGTAATACTCACTGTGTCTGTAACTGTGTACACCATTTTGTAAATAGTTGCTGTTGCTGTTGCTGTAGTTTGATGGTTAGGTTAGGCGTAAGAACAACCGGTAAAGCTGTCTGAAGTTTTCTCAATTATCAAATAGAACCGCACTCGGAGAACACGCAGCCAACTCGTGGGGATTTAAACTAGCAAATGCGATGCCAAGCGTTGGCATCCGCTATCATATATGAGCGTTGCAAACTCACCACGCAAAAGAGCGGGAGAGCGTGGCAAATGGGTGTGAGCTGGCAGGGCTGGTGAATTTATGTGGCGTGCTGCAGAGGTCACACATAATTATTCAATTATGTTTTTGGCTATATGTTCATGTATTGTAGTTTAATGTATAAATTAAAAGTAAAAAGCAAATAAAGAAATTAAATATAAATTCAAATGTAATATTGTTCATTTGATTAAATATTTATATAACATAATTATGAAATACAACTCTGCAGTGCGAACGGCTTGACCTTAGCAGCTGACCCTGCTTGGGCTATGTTTATCTTTGCATTCGCCAGATGTCGCTAGTGTGCATTTGTGACGTTAGGTCTTTACATTACATTTACATTTATTGCTTTTTATCAAAGTGAACTTTTCTGTCTAAATTAAAATTTTTATTCAAATATAATATATATTTTAGATATTTAAGATCAATTTAAAATAGCAATGAATGTTTTATATGAAAACTTTGAAATGCAGCTCTGAAATGGCGCTCCTGTTGGTCATGTTAAATGTTTACGACAGGTGGCGCCGCTTTGGGTCAATGTTGATACTCATGAGCGCTAGATGGCGCTAGAGTGCACACATTAGGCGTAAGGTCTTAACCACAAAAAAATATTTTGCTTCCTTTATATGTAATCTGAGTTATTAAATATAAATAAGCATATTTAATAATAAATAAATATTTAATATAAATGTAATTACTTAAATAATATATAAATTGCTTACTTTTATATTTAAATTAATTAAAAACAGATATGTATTTATGTTTGTATGCCTCTACCTCAGAACCAATTAGCTCTAGGGACTTGAGGTTTTCTTTGGAAGTCACTATATATCGCATATAGATCAAGCTTGTTTCAGAAAACTTGAAATACGTGATATTAAGTTTTTAAATTATGTTAAGAAAGTCTTTATTAAATTATAATAGGGAAATCTTTATATAAGAGTCCCTATATGTTTCATTTTGTTTTATATATTTTATACAATTATGGGATTGTGTATATTTGGGATACCGGCTCTACATTTCAGGACATTTTGTAACCAATTCTCTTTGAAGCTTTTGAATGAACGTTCCTGACCTTCAGCGAACTTTGTTGTCAACCGTAATTAATTATGAGCATAAATACAGTTTTATATAATAATCACACGCACTTACAAGTCAACATTTCTTAATAATTTATTTTTGCCAAAATAAGAAAACAACTACACAATACTATTTATATAGATACACAATATATATATATATATCGATTTCAAATCTTGAGCCTACAAACTATGAGTAATGCGGCGCCTTTTTAAGTACTTATCAATGGGCCGCATGGGCGGCTGCTTGTGGGGGGGCGTGTTGCGGCGAATGATGCAAATGATGGTGATGATGATGATGATAGGTGAGCGTGGGCGCAGGTGGCGCCACAGCTGTGACAGCTGAGGCCGCAGCAGCGGCCGCGGCAGCAGCAGCTGCAGCAGAGCCGCCGGCGGCAGCAAAGCCATTCGCTGCTACCGCCATCTGTTGCTCATAGTTGGCATAATGATCGTAATAGCTGCCGTAGCTGGAACCGTGCTCCAGACTCGGATTCAAACCGCTGCCGCAGCCACTGCTACTGCTAATGGCGCCACCTGGCGCCGTGGTGCCCGTATCAAAGTAGCTGACGCCGCTGTAGCTATTGGCGCTCTCGTAGTAGTGAGCGTGTCCGCCGGAAATGTTGCCGTAATGCTGCTGCTGATCTTGCTGCTGCTGCTGCTGCTGTTGCTGTTGCTGTTGCTGCTGATGCTGATGCTGCAGTTCGTAGTCGGACTTGGTTAGCTCACGCTGGTAATAGTAATCGTAGTTATCCTGCGTATAGCTCGCCACCGGCTGCGTCTCCACGGTCGCATTGTACTTGATGGTGGGCGTCGTTTCGCTCTTGCAGCCCAGCTCGAGGTGCTTGATCTGCGAGTAGTTGATGAACTCCGGCTCCGGCGTAGCCAGCTGTGGACTCGACTCGTATGCCAGCTGACAGCTGCTGTTGCCTAGGGCGTTGCTAGCGAAGCCAGACGGAGTGGACTGAGGGTGATTGGGCGGCTGGTAGGCCAGCTCCGAGATGCACGTGTAGGGCAGACTGGGCGATTTGCTGGGCACAGCTGTGGCAGCCGTGGGCGTGGCATGGTAGATGGGATAATTGTAGGTAATATGCTGATGATTCACCGTGAACACATTCGCCGAGGATTCACAATTGGCTGCTTCACTGGCGACATTGGCCAACGGCCAAGAGCTGTTCATATAGTTGGAAGACTGACTCAGCTGATGGGCGCGCGTGCTGTCCTCCAAATAGCTGCACGTGCAGTGGCTATACGTGGTGCACTTGCCGCAGGCTAAGAAGGATCGGGGTATGAAATGAGTTGACGAAGGGATTAACAGACTCCAATTGACTCACCATTGAATTGATATATCTCCAGAGCTGAGTGGCCCAGTGGCTGGCTGGCGGCGGAGCGCTTGAGTACTTTGCTCATGAGATTCTGTTGCTGCTAGCGAGAGAGAGAGAGAGAGAGAGAGAGAGAGTTTGAATGGGACTTGGGAAGAGATCGATAACAGAGAATGCAGCTCACCTTCACCTGCTTCACCAGGCCTGCTATGATCGACTTCTTGGGCACGCTGCTCGACCTACTGCCCGTCAGGCTGGAGCTGCCCTTGCCGGCCGTGAGGGCGACTCGTCCGAAGGCTCGCTTCGAGACGCTCGAGTTCTTGGGATCGGGTCGCAGATGATCGTGCACGCCCTTGGCCTGAAAGAAGATGGCATTGCCGGAATGCCGCCAGAAATGTGTGACCGGATAGCCGCAGTGGCCGCGACAGGGCTTGATCTCCAGCCGGCCGCCACGGCAGCTCTTGTTGGGGCACGCCTTGCCCTCCTGTTTGCGTCGCGCCTTATCGCATATCGCCGGCCGAAGATTGATCTTGCTGCCGTTGGGCAGTGTGCACTGCTGCGAGCAGACGAGCACGCCCAGGCAGCTCTTCTTCAAGATGTTCACATTGTGATTGTTGGTGTTGCGCATGGCCCAGCCGGAGATGTGCTTCTTGGCCTCCTCGTTGTGCACCGAGTAGACCAGCCGGACATGACCGTCGCTCCACTCGCTGAACTCATCGAACTCCATGTCGCCCACCTGCGGCACGATCGCATCGTTGATGTCCCAATCTCGTTTACTCTTGCTGACATTGTTGTTGTTGTTGTGAGTGTTGTTGTTGTTGATGGTGTTGCTGTTGTGCGTCGACATCCCGCTGGATGCTGCCTGCAAGTGGCTCTGTTGACTCTGATGATGCTGCTGCTGTAGCTGTGGATGCGGATGCGGATGCAAATGCGGCTCTGTTTGTGAGAGTTGTTGGTAGTGCGCCTTGAACGTGTAGCCATTTCTGCAAAGGAGATTCAATATGTATTCATTCCTAGCTAATCCTTATGGTTTTCAGATAAGATAAGACGTGTGGAAAGTCAGTTGAAGTGAGACACTAGTACATATCGCTAATAGCTCTTAAGGACCGATTAGCCTTATCTTCGATTTAAGACTTTCATCCTAACTATACCCATACCTATTAGATAATTTACTGTATATAAAAAGCAAAATTCATGTTGAATTTCCTCATTAATATCGAATATAATGTTTATATACATACATATATAAATAAATTATACATGTACATAGTTAGTAAAGCATCTGGTAGAGTTATAGGAAATGTTCCTTCTTTTCGTGAACATTCTTAAACATATTTTCTTAATCTTACAGATTTCAAACAGCTTAAAACTCTAACGTTTAATTGATCCTGATTTTAAGTCAGAGAATTAAGTTTTGAGCTCCGCTAACTCAATATATCTTATAAATTTTAATAATATAAACAATATACTTTAATATTTTTAATGCTGATTGCGCTAATGTTAATAATAATATTAATATTATTAATATCAGCTCATATTAAATTCTATCTTTAATCTTTCTAATATGATTAAATATTTTATGAACAGTTTTATGAACAGCTTGTAAACCTTATAAGGAATTGGAACAAGCTCATTTCTTATCACATTTTAAAAGCAAGACATTCATTTTCAGCTTCACTCCAACTCAATATGACTGAAAAGTAAAAAAGTAGCGAGGCCTTTACTTTCAAGTATTAGAGATATATATCATAAAACAAATAAAATAAAAATAATCCTATATTTAATAAAAGATGATATTTTACTTAATATATTTCTTGTAGTAGTTCATGAAAGAAAACTCTAGAAATCTAGAGAGAAGTAGAATAAAAAAAAAATTATCAAAAAGTAACTCAACTTTTTTATATTTCAAAACTCTTATAAAACCGGATTGAATCCATGAAAGAACCTAAAATCTAAGAATTGCAATTATTACTCAACATTTCTTATCTAATTTTAATTTTCTACGTACTTAACATCTGTTACATGCTTTCATTCTTTTTGTGTTTTATTCACTTTTCGGCTCATCATTAATTTCAAATAATGTTAAATAACGCTGAAAGCAAACGAAAGAGTTCAACTCTAAGCACACTTTGAATGCGGGTTACCTTAGCTCTTAGCTGAAGGTACTTTAAGCTGAAGCTGAAGTACTTTAACTTAAAAGTTCCTAAACTGAACGAAATGCACGTGAGTTTTATCTTATTGCCGCTTTAGCATCACTTCAAGCTATTATTTATTGGCCAAGCTTCAATCTAAATAAGTCGACTAAACGATTCCTATGAAATGGTCTGAACTTGGTTTACGATATCGTTGTGCGTTGCGTGGGTTCCGAAACAATCAAATGAAATGCTTGTTTGTTGGGTTTATGCGTGTCATGGCGTGCATAACTCTTCGGGGCGTGACATTAAATGGTCAGAGTAGACGGCAGGCAGGTACCGTTAGCGTTAGCCCAGTTAAGAGAATCAAGTACCACATGGTAATCCGAGCGCCAGCTAACAATATTATT